ATCGGGCAGTGTTTCGTTCTGCTGTGCATGGGGTCGCTATGAGTCGGAAACGACTCGACGGCACTTAACAACAACAACAACATGAAAGCCAATGGCAAGAAAGAGAAATAAAAGGCATACAAATTGGCAAAGAGGAACTAAGACTGTCTCTATTTGTGGATGATATGATCCTGTACATAATAAACTCAAGGGACTCAATAAAATAAAACTACTAGAACTAATAGGTTCGGCAAAGTGGTAGGATACAAGGTCAACATACAAAAATCAGTTGGATTTCTCTACATCCGCAAGGAGTCCTCTGATAAAGAAATAAGGGAAACAATACCATTTACTGTAGCTACAAAAAAGATAAAATACCAAGGAATAAAGCTCACCCAAGATGCAGAAGACCTGTACAGAGAAAACCATAAAACACTGCTATAAGAGACAAAAAGGGCACTACATAAATGGAAGAACCTATCTTGCTCGTGGATAAATAGACTGAATATTGTGAAAATGTCAATACTACGTACAGCAATCTACACATTTAATGCAATCCCGATCTAGATTCCAACAAATATTTTTAAGGATATGGAAAAAACAATTACTAATTTCATATGGAAAGGAAAGAGACCTCAGATTAGCAGAACACTTCTCAAGAAGAAAAAGAAAGTGAGAGGTCTCACACTCCCAGATCTTAAGAACTACTATTCAGCCACAGTAGTCAAAACAGCATGGTATTGGTACAGTGACAGACAGATAGACCAATGGAACAGAATCGAAAGTCCAAATATAGACCCATCCATCTGTGGACAACTGATCTTTGACAAAAGTCCAAAACCCATGAAATGGGGAAAAGACAGCCTCTTTAACAAATGGTCCTGGCAAAACTGGATATCTACCTGTAGAAAAATGAAACAAGACCCCTATCTCTCCCCATACACAAAAACAAACTCAACCTGGATCAAAGAGTTAAATGTAAAACACAAAACTGTAAAATTAATCAAAGATAAAATAGGGGCAAGTTTGGGAGCCCTAATTTATGGCATAAGTAAACTATCAAGCATAACCCAGAATGTGCAGGAGGTAGAGGAGAAGCTAGATTACTGGGACCTCTTAAAAATTATAAATTCTTATGTGCATCAAAAGACTTTGCCAAAAGAGTAAAAAGAGAACCTACAGATTGGAAGAAAATACATGCCTATGACATATCTGATAAAGGACTTATCTCCCAAATCTATAGAAAACTTCAGTACTTCAACACCAAAAAGACAAATAACCCAATTCACAAATGGGCAAAAGACTTGGACACTTCACCAAAGAAGATATACAGGCAGCCAACAAACATGAGAAATTAATTGCTCATGATCATTAATCATTAGAGAGATGCAAATCAAAAAAAAATAGTGAGATATCATCTCACCCCAGCAATAATAGCAAAGTTCGACAGGGCAGAAAATAACAAACGCTGGCGAGGTTGCAGAGATTGGAACTCTTGCGCACTGCTGGTGGGATTGTAAAATGGTGCAACCATTGTGGCAAATGGTATGGCATTTCCTTCAAAAACTGAAAATAGAAGTGCCATTTGACCCAGCAATTCATTTACTAGGAATATATCCTAAAGAGGTGAGAGATAGTGTGCAAACAGACATATGTACCTGTGTTCATTGCAGCACAATTCACCATAGCAGGAGATGGAAACAAGCTAAATGCCCATCAGTGGATGAGTGGATAACTAAATTATTGTATATGCACAGAATGGAATACTATGCTACATTTAAGAACAACGAGGGGTACGTGAGTCATCTAACAACGTGGATGAACCTGGAGGACGTTATTCTAAGTGAAATAAGTCAATCTCAGAAAGACAGTACTGTATTAGCCCATTACTGTAAAAAGACAGGGAAGTGTTTGTTTGGGAAAGGGAACTCACTTAGTAGGTTACTGGGATGGGGAGGGAAGGGTAGGGATTAATTTTGGGCTAGTTGGGGTCTACACGCTGACGTGGTTAGGGGGAGGGATATGTGGGAAAGATCTGTAACCACCATGATAACATTAGCAAATGGGAGGACACCAAATTGTGCACATAAGAGATAGATGACAGATGTTAATACCAACCAATGTGTCCACAATACTGCATTGCCATTAACACCAAACACAAGGCTACAGATAAACACATAAACACCTGAGATGATCAGACAGGGGTCCATGAACTGAAGTGTATTCTAGACCAAGCATAGATTAAGCTGTGGCTAATCTTACACAGACACCAGTGATACAAAATACCTGTGTTCCATACAGAAACAATAGAAGACAGGCACAGAGTAATCCCTCACAATCAGACACTATGGGAGAGAGATCCAATAGATTTACCGTCTCAGGACCATAGTACTGGGGGACACCAGACCCAATTGGCACAACAAAATACATAAAAGCCTTGTTCCACATCCTACATTGGTGAGTAGCAACTGGGGTCTTAAAAGCTTTCAAGTGACCATCTAAGATGTAGCTAATGTTCTCCTAGCATCTGAAGCAAAGAACACACACACACACACACACACACACACACACAACCAAGGGAATTTAGAAGCAATCAGCCCTAGAACACGATGGCCCTTGAGACCAGAAGAACTAGATAGTGCCTGGCTACCAATGCCAACCACTCAGGAAAGGATCAAATCTGGAGATTCTGGATAGAACAGGAGGGAAAATGGGGAACAAAATCCAAAAACTCAATAATGACCAGAATTACTGGTCAGATGAAATCTGGTTAGACTCCCAATACTATGTCCCTGGAATACATTCTGTGCCTGGAATAAAATGTATCCCCAGGGGCTGGCTCTCAGCCCAATAGTTAACAAGATGTACATGCAGACCACTCAACCCAGGATGATGTACCCACATACTCTATGATAATACATCCCTTTGAGCACTAGACCATGGGACACCAGAGGACCAACATTCAAATTGAGGAAACGCAGGACAAACAGGAGTGCATAAATATGAGG